CACCGGAAGCGGACGACATCCATGAAGGACGCTATCCCTTAAAGATCTTGATTTGCGAAAATTCGCAGCAAAGTATGTTTCCGCCTGTTATCCCATTGTAGTTGTGCACTCTAGATAAAGAAGACATACCTATGAAGTTAAAGTTATGGTAATACACTAGATACTTTTGCTCGTGAGAATATGCCTTTATGTGATTGTGTCAACCGAAATAATTGCGATAAACTGACGGAAATTTTAAATACAAAGAAGCTTGACGCTGCGATTACAGGAATACACACACTTTCGCTGTTTGTGCGCTGCAGAAGCTTTCAGAGTTTGCAAAAATTTTGCCTTCAAACCTTACAGAAAAGTCCTATCTACGAAAAAAGCTATCCCTAGTAAACAAATCGTCATATGCGGGACGTTATTGTACAAGTTCAAGGGTCTGGGGCCTTTAATTTTTATCAGAAGAATACAGTAAGTAGTAGGTAAATTAGGGAAATTGAAGTGTTTTTCAAGGTTTTTTAGAAGTAGTGGATAAGAGGTTTGATGAAATGTGACGGCCAATCAGGGGTCTACAGTTCGTTATCATCTACTAAGAGCTAGCCTGGAACAGAGGGCGGAGATGTTCACCTATTGTCAGGCTGATGACAAAGAAGAAGACCAGTATGAAGCTAAAAATTAGAAGACGAAAAAGAGGGACTAGTTTTGAACGCATTTTCTAGAGTGAATACTTCCATACTTACGCATTTATACAGAAATTATGCTTCAAATAGTACTTTAGAGGATTTGTCGCACATCATTTTGTGCTTCACCTTTATATTCGCCGATATGAATGACTAGCCTGAAATGAGGAAGAAAGTGTAAATGCACCCGATATGAAACCAATGACAAATTTTTTGTGAACCTTAGAGATTTTTTTTTGATTAGGCCAGTACATAACACTGACTTTGTTTCCGAATAACCTGAATAAGATGGGCTGTTGCCTAGCTTTAATATATATGGGATTAACATTTTTACGCAGTGAATTTCCGGGAAAAATTACTGTATTCGAGAAAATTGCAGGTAGAGAGATATAACGCGTACTCCACTATTATCATTTAGATTCAATCCTCTGAAAGTTTTATGAGCAATATCGATCAAGACCATTGGTTAGGCAAATTTAAACTCCTTGCAACTCAAAACGATATCATGCGACTTGTGAGACACCCATTTCTCTATGAACATTTCTTTCTTAGGCATCACTACTATGATTTCCT